CCATTTCAATGACCACGTGGCCTCTCTCGTGGTGAAATGGGTCTTCACTAGCTCCTCGGTGTTTTTTTGTTTTGTCGCCGTCACGGGCATGTAGGGGAGTGCCTGAAGAGATTATAACGCCATGATTTAATAAGTTATGTAATGTATATAGTTATACTTGTTGGAAGGACAAGTGACATTCACAAACAATATCTTTATAGAAAACATGGAGATCTCGACGGGATGTCTCTATAGGAATAATGGTTTCATGCCAGCAGGAACTGGTGTTAGTTTTTCTTTGATGTGCGTAGATAATCGGCCTGGTTCGCAGAGAACTTGTCTATGGAGTCCAGAGGAATGTGTGATTTACTCAACAGTTTTTGGAAGTTGGGGTTCATTTTGGGACTTAATTGGCGCCAAGAGTTTGAAGCAGGGGGTGGTTCTTGCTTGTAACAGTCAATAGTTAGTACGGCAAGCTCCTTCCCGTACGGAAGGATCCCCAATAGGCACCGAAGAGTACCGGCCTTCCACGCCAGGCTTCCACGCCACTTTTGTCGTTTCACTCCTCTTCGCCCTCCTTGGAATCAAGGGCACCCTTGCTCTCCCAGGCCTCGGATCATTCGAGATTTCGCTGGTTTGACTCGTGGGTGTTGAGTCAAACTCCGACTGCTTGAGTACAAGAGGCTATGATCCGAGCCAGAACAAATGGGCCTGCTGAGCCATAAGTTTAAAGTCTGTCAATCAGGTTCCAAGTCGCTGCACTGGTGCATGGAAACGTCCTCCTTTGGACACTTGGGCCCGCACAACGAACAGCCATTTCTGCTTATTGCTAGGGTATGCTACTGTAGGGTGTGTCCCAGGAACCAGTAAGAGTCGGTAAGTAAGAGATCATCACTTTTTTAATGGGGTTCTGGGTCTCTACCAAGCTGTTACTGGTCTGTCGACATGTTTTAGGACGTAACAAGAAGCTACTAGGAGCTCCTGACATCGCTACTGGAGCAAGGACGCTACTAGGGGCTCCTGGCGGTACTACTAGGAGCAAGTAGCTACTAGTAACAAGAAGCTACTAGTAACAAGTGCATCGCTTCTAGTAACAAGTGCCTTACTAGTAGTAACAAGGACGCTACTAGTAACAAGAAGCTACTAGGAGATGCTCCTGGACCGTCTTTTGGGCGAATCCGACCTCTGGGAGAGATGAGGGACGCGGGTGAGCGGGGCTGTCGACCCTCCAACCTACGGGCCCCACGGGGTGTGGAGAGAGTCCGTTGATGTTTATAGGCTGATGACGTTGACGAATTGGGAATGAACAAACTGACTCGTGCTTTAATAATATGTTCAGTATCCTTTGTAATTATCGTACTGGGTTTGCTTGATCCTGGCGTGACAACAGAGGAAGACCATACCGAAGATTTTAATACGTGGTATTGATTCTTCCTGGGAAATTAACAAGACCTTGATAAGGGGCAAAAACGACCTCACTCAACGATTTGATTCATATTCACCGATGGGTCGTTGGACCACTTTTGGGCTTGCTGTGTTTGTTTCCATGGTGTTTTGTCTTGGACATGCGTGTCAATTTACACGGTGTTCCGGTGTTCCTCAATCAAATTGTGTGTGTACATTCTTAGAGCATGGTTGATTTCTTTGTTTCTTAATGCTGCCCTCTTTTGGTCGTAAAAGCAGGACCTAGCTTTCCGGAGGTCGCAAAGCTGGACGATCGGTCGGGCTGATCAAAGCAACCACCACGGGCGTTGCCAGGAGGTAAACATCTCTTGCAGCCTCTTGGCTGAAAGCACAACAGAAGGAAGCTGCCGGGTGCTTTTAATGTTTATTTTGTTTGCCCGGTGTGTTGGGTCCTTTTTCGGAATGGTTCTAGTAGAGGCCTCCGGCATTTCTGCTGAGCTCCAGGTTCTATTTCTTTTTTGCAAAGTGTTCCGAGTTGCAATGCTTCTCAGAGCGTTACTCTTTAAACAGAGCCAGTGGAGGCAGTTTTGGGACCGCGAGCTGCGTGTGCATGATAGTAGAGACTCGGGCTCCCAGCCATAGATATAGATAAGATAAGATTTTGAGATCAACACCAAGTGGTGGTCATGACAGGTACCCAAACAATCCACATATAGAAACTATACCTACATGGTGGTGGTTGGAGAGGTCAGGCATATATTCCATATTATTCCATACATTGAATGTCAGCTTCGTTCCAATGGCCCCACCGATGGACCCACGGACCAGTTTCAGCTCCCGCCGACGCTCGCCGACCTGCCGCTCCGCTCGAGAAGTTCCGCAGACCTCCCGGGTTTGCCGCGGCGGCTTCTGCGCCGATGCGCGCCCAGACGCTCCGGGAGGGACTGGAAGATATGGACATTCACCCCTGAAACTAGGTCCAATGTAAATACTCCGTACATGGAGCGTTTGGGCAAGGTACTTCTACGCCCGGAGGTTGTGCTACAGCGGTCCCGGGAAGTCATCTCCATCGCTCAGTTCCAGCAACACTGAGTGAGATCGAGATGGCGTCGAAGGCACCGGGGGGAGGGAACATCTCGATGCACCAAAATGAAGTCCTCAAATGACATGTGCATAGATTGCCATGGATCCTGATCAGACTAACAGAATCTGCGGTGTTGATTCATCAGGGATAGCATATCTTACGCATGATTTAAGAAGCTCAATTACTTGTCTACAGCCCACAGGCATTGCTCCATGTGCTGTTGCATCTTTGGAGATCATTTGAGGCCATCAAGTTGCCACACGTTTTGGGCAGCATGTGTTTTTGCTCACATGGCAGAGTACAACTACCAAAAAGAGTAACCTTTTGGTTTGGAGCAACATGAAAAATACCAAACATAGGACTTTGTTTTGTCAAATCAGGCATCAGATGAGGTGTCAAAGAGTTGCTAGAAGAACTAATTGCCACGCCAATAGCTGTTTGCAATCTACTATATTACACTCATCATCAGAGGTTTGTACAATTTGTTGCCTTTGCTGTAAGGTACTTTAACACCGTCCCATGAGTTTGCCTCTAGCTCACTCAAATCACGTCGTGATAGCTTCCTAACGTCACCATAGGCTTCTCTGTAGAAATAAAGGATCCCATAAAAGGCATGTTGATCATCTCGGAGGAAGGTTGTAAGTTTGGGCATCCTCCCCTTTCTGTCATCTCCAACAAAAATAACGATCAGATCTTTTCGTATGAATATCATGTGCAAGTCTGGCGGTCTAGGATCTTCATGACCACAATTAGATGTTTGTCAGAGGTCCAACTTTTGAACACTTGCCTTCTCAGACACCAAAAGAAGTCGTCTACCTAGCGCGTCCGTCCTGGGTGTCCAACGGTGACCTATAAGCAGCGCAGGGTTGTCCATTGGAAGCAGCTGGTACAGATGTGTCCTAATACAGATGTGTCCTAATTTATTCGTTCATAGCACTCAGCACTCAGCACGACACCCCCAAACAGTTGGTCGACAGTCGTTTGCAGCCGTTGCTACGTATGTATCCGGACTCCAACGGCGAAAAAATCCCAAGTGGTGGTTGATATAGGAATTGGCCAGAAAAGACTTGGGGATTTGAGCCAAGAGTTCCTATTGAGTCTCGTCATGGTGCTGGTGGGTCAACACACCACATTGGCCACTCGAGGCGAATAAACCCTGCGCCACTGTGCAGAGCGAAACAATCGGCTGACCCGCTAGCGGAACCACTTCGCTGTGAGCGCAAAATCTGGTGGCAAGAGCAGGAGTAGCTGAAGTAGCCCAGACCATTCATGTGTAGGAATAGTTACATACATTGAGCCATAGTTTGATACTGTAGTAGGCATGGAAATTTCCATACATGGGCGGTCGTTCGGTAAGGTAGGTCTCCGACTTGATTTCTATCCTTCAGTCATCGCTTATATTATATATAGAGCCTATTAGGTCGCCGCTTCTCGAGGAGAAGGAAATAATCCAAGGAGTTGACGTGTTTGACGGAGTGAAACACTGACTGATGACTGCCAAGTGCGGATGTATTCTTTGCCCTCAAGGGGCGCTTGGCAGTCATCTGACACTTGGCAGACTTGCCCAGGTTCCACTATGTTTATGTGTCATTACTTCTTGCCCCTGTGGGTCTTCTGAGATTCGTTCACACCCTGCTTCCACATGCCCTGACTTCAGCCTTTTAGCCATCCATGAACTGACTCCTCACACGGGTGTGGAGGTCCTTCTTGTCATGGAACCCATTTGTATGGAGAACCTTGCTGAAAGGGTCAGACTGTTCATGGAGAAACCCTTGTTGAATGAAGATACAACCTGGGATGGAGAAGCTCTTGATGGATCATATCTCCAACAGGTTGTACGTTGCAGGTGGTGGAAGACTTTCTAGATTTTTCTACAAGCACTTCATAAGCTGTGTTTCACTGAGGATCATTTCTCCGAGTAGAAATTTGCTGGTCTTGGTAGTTTCCATTCTCCGTAGATCGTTTTTCCTGGGCAGACCTCGAAGATGTTCCCCCACAGTTGGTGGCCCGAGTTCCCTTCAAAAAGGAGTGCACTGAGACAAGGATTTCAGCCGGATCCTGATTACCAAAAGCCTAGGATTTCTTTGAGCATCCGAACCCAAATCTAGATCTGCGTCTATCTGCGTGGTCAACATCCCAAAACGAGGACCCCGTGTAGATCCATGAAACTTCCGAGCACGTTGTGTAAAAGAAAGGTTGAAGTCCCTGTAACCTTGCAACACGGTTTTTATATGAGGAATAAAGCCACAGGGGTCGTGGGATATACATGCAATTCTGGAAAGTCAAACGATGCAAAAGTCTGCTAGCCAAGGGCAAAAACTAATGCTTGAAAGTTTAAAGACAGCACACACACAAAACAACAACTAATTATGATATATAATAAACAATCACACGCATACGTAGCTGTGGCATCATGTCAATATGTACCCCTCCTTCCGGTGGTCACATCTCTTCTCATCTTGACTTCCCTTTCGCCGCCAGCTTGGCTTATAGCCGATATAAAGACAGCAGCACAGCACCCAGCCGCTGCACCATGTCTTCCCGGAGCATCACCAGTACCGCCCTCGAGATGCACCAAAAGGCACCGGGGCGGTGGGCGGGGCACTGCGCCGCGACCCGTCTTCGTGCGGATGCGATGCGCGTTTTGGGTTGGGTCCTTTTGACTACTCACAAAGGATCTTTCTGCGGACACAGAATCCAATTGAATCCTGTCATACTGTCGAAAGCATTTGCACTGCCTTCCGCACTGCCTTCTGGATAGACATAAACTACGTACTAGTTACTAGTACTAGTTCCAAAAGTTATCGATTTCAAGTATTATCTGACTTGGCATTTGCATGTCTTCATGAGACTGGATGCGGCTGTACCCAGGTTTCTTGAAACAGAGTCCACAACTCAGTTTTCCACGCTTTCAGGTATCTCCGGATCGATGGTGCGTGACGCGCTTGGATCTCAAGTACTTGCATGTTCAAGTCCTTGAAGCCGTGCAAGCAGGGCAAATCTTCTCCAGATCGCAGCTTGACAGCGGAGGGGAGTGGGAAGGTCAAGCTAGTGACATATTCTTACATGGTGGCATGGTGGCATGGACAAACATTGAGAGATCTCATGCTGTTCACCATGTATGCAGAAACAAATGTCCAAGTTCCCAATATTCCGTGCTGTTGGGTGATCTCGCTGCCCCACCAGCCCTCCAAGATGGAATGATAAGTTTGTTTTCAGACAGTACAAAAGTGCGTATGGCAGATGGCAGTGGGAAAGTCTCAGCATCTCTTGCTTTTGCTTTCAGGCTCGTTGAACCAGACGTCCGCAGCTCGTTGAACCAGACGTCCGCAAAGTCCATGATGTTGAAGGTTCCTCCAAGATTCTGATTTGACTAGATTCTGATGCCAAACCCATATTTCAATATACGGTATATTCTGACAAGAAGTCAACACTCATAGGATTGAGGTGCCTTCATCTTGAGACTACCCACTTCTTTGGACATCTAGAATCCAGCTGCGATGCCAGACTACCCTTCCTAGGTGCAGTGGAGACACAGCAGGCACTCAAGAGTCTTAGAGGCACTGGTCGACGCTTCGGACGCTTCTCCAGGCAGTGACCACCAGGGTTCCCTCCGGAGCCGAACGCCGTTCCGCGGTCCACCGCTCCGTGGCGGTGGCGGCCAGCCGATGGCGTTGCACCGCATGGGTGCGCTGCAATGTGGCAATCGCATTGTCTTAGAGTTGATGAGTGCTCCTGAAGAAGCTGCTTCGTATATTGTAACACGAAGGGACGTCCAGCAGGGGGGGATCCACATACCTTTTTGCTTTGTACGACTGGACCCTGCTGCTGACACCTACATCAAAGAGGGTCCAATCATTGTACCTCAGAGGGTTTGTGGCGATGAACTCTGGCGCCACATTGAACGCCTCATGTTGAACTTTGGAAGATGAGATCCTGGGTGCGATCGTCTTCTCAGGCCGTATCGGGGCACAAGTAAACCTACGGATTCTTAGGGACCACACATGGATCCACACCCCAAAGATCCAAAAACTTGGGTATTTGTCCAGAAGAACCAGGGTGTTGCACAAGCAATACCATGCAATACCATATATAATATTGGTATGATATGTACCAGGACCTTCCAACAGGTGGTTTTGGACACCCAAAAAGGCCTCTAAGAGGCTATGCATGGAGACCTCTTGAGGGTCCTGGTTTGATTAAGATGATGAAACTGGAAACTAGAGGATTCTGTAGGCTTTGGGCCCGAAGCTAGCCGGAGGTCTTTCGCCGCTAGCTTGCCTCCCAAGAACGGGCGGGCCGGTTTGGGCATGAGGGTCATATTTTTAAATCCTGTGCAGAGTGACACGAAATCATTACGTACTTTTCTGAAGCGGCCTTTAGCTACTAGTAGCTTCTTGTTCTGAAATCACCACCCTTTCACATCTGAGGAGAGTGAAGACGATGACGAGTTCGGGCCCAGCATCTATACCGTCACTGAGCAGTACATCAAGCCAGTCACAGCTGAAGCGGGCAAGATGAGCTGGGCCTTGATGAGAAACCCTTTCGGTTTGGATTGTGACTTGTTCGTGAGCCACGCCTGGCAAGAAGGCATCTTCGAGTTTCTCTCCAAAGTTCGCACTTCTTGGCCTCGAGGCGCGCGCGTGGTTCTATCTCGCGCGGGCACGTGGTGGAGAGCGACGTTTGCATCAATTCTTACATTCAAGAAGTTACCAGCTTCATCCAGCTTCTGTGAGAAGCCAGTTTGAATAGACAAAAATCTACCAATCTACCCAGCTTTGGCCGGGTCATGGGTTTGTGCACAAACACAACACCTGCCATTTCCATCCTGTCGGGGTCATGGCTGCAACTCGTCTTAGGTGCCCGAAATGCTTGGTGCTGCATGCTCGCCAACCCACAGAACCTCAACGTGAGCTCCATGCTTTTGTCGCCTCGGGCTTCGCCTTTTGCGCTGGCGTTACAGGCCTCCAGCGTGGTCTTGGTGGTGCCAAACCGGCACAGGAGCGTCTACACCCGCTTGTGGTGCGGCGACTCGGTGAAAGAGAGAAATCGCGAGGAAACACTTTCTGGCTGCGTGCCCACATATTGTAGTTGAGGTTCGGGACAGTATGGTGATGTTGCCTCCTTTTGCAAGACAGGCTTTTCCCCTCAGCGTTATTCGATTTGAGTCTTAAAACTAGTTTCAGGTTATGAGGCCTATGTCGCCTCAGAGGAGGACAAGACGATCCAAGTCGCCATGGCCCCCGGCCGCCGCTCCATGTGCTTTGCTTGTTTGAAGGTTCGCGCTTTGCGGGTCTGCGGATCGAGACTGAGTGTGTGCACAAAAATAGGACAGTCATGGGCAGTCCAGAAGCTTGTTCTTAACAATTGAGTTTCCTGTGACTCAGAATTCTGAATCATGTTCAAAAATGAGTGAGTCAACTTCAAGTTCACCACCTCCAGCAAAGTTCACAAGCCCTAGAGATCTTCACCAAGTCTGAACCTCGACCACTTGGAATTTCCAGTTGCCAGATCACCACTTATTTGAGCCAAGGGTCAAGAGTCTTTTTCGGGGTGTACAATTCCCTTACGATGCAAGATTCACAAAGCACCAGCCCTCGAGCTTCGAGCTACTGTGTGATCTGGACGGTCGCTTCGCGCACGTCGCGTCATGCTCTGTGGAGCTCCGTCATGCTCCGGTCCTGCTCCGGTCCGCCTGGAGAGGCCATGGTGCCCGTGGTGCTGGGATTGGTCCTGGGGACCTTGGACAGGTTCTTTCACTGGCAATTGAGGCGCCGACGATTGGTTTTGGGCGCAGAACATGTCTCTGAAGGATTCCGAATGGTAATAGAGCAAAGAAGGTTGGAGGGGATATGGTCAATAAAGTCGCTTGCAATATGAGAATATTATGGAGCCTCATCCTCGAAAACCATCCATGGACAGCACTGTTTCAGTTAAGCCGGACAGGACATGGAACTAGTCTTGACAGTGCGTTGCGTTTCGTTCTTTATTCCATGCTGTTCGTTGACACACACAGACAGTACTTGTAGCAGGTTGAAAATAACAAGGCCAATTGATGATGAAAGGATGCATATGATGCGTTTGCCGAGACTGGGGGGAGAAGAATGCAAGCCACAACCGTACCCAGCGAGTATGCCTGAGTGTAAGAAACTCAAAGGAAGAGGATCCAAGCCGATTTGCCTGAAGCAGCTCTTGGATGAGACTAGTCTATATAGTCAGACTGGGTGTTTCAGGACAAAGAGAGCAGAATCCCATCGTATCAATATGATATCTGAAGTGATGTCCAGTGTCCATGTTCAGTCCATCGACCTCTCAGGGTTTTCGAGATCTCCTTTCTGGTATCCATGTGTGCCTTCACAAGTGCCATTGCGCGTCCCTCGCTCCTTCGACGGGTGGTGAACTATGTGGGCTTGCTGTCGTCGGGTGCGCTGGAGGTTTGCTGGGAGTCTTGGCAATCATCAGAAAAATAAATACGCCACACATCAACACAGAATGAAACAAATCAGGATGTTCAATGGACCAACGAAGAATGGGGCTTCGACCTGTTTTTGACCGCGACCCGTGAAACGAGTCGCCTGCGCGAGTCGCCTGCGTCGCAGAAATGCGTAGATCGGGGCGAGGTGACCAGATCCATAGGGGTTGACGTTGCAAGGGCCTTTGAAAGGGCGAGTTGTTTGTTTTTGTTGAAAATCTGATATGATATAATATGTATATAATATACAGTGCGCTGGGTTTCAGAGGTTCGATGTCACTGGGGGCGCCCCAGATGGACCTCCCGTCCTTGGACAGGTCTGCCATCTCTGATGGCCCACGAATTTTGCGAAGACATGTGTCAGTTCCAAAAAGCAATGTGGCCACTTTGGCCATGCTGTTTGTGATCCCTGTGATTCCATGGGTGTCACTGGTCGAATACGACTCCCGCAGGCCGATCTTCGCACTGTTTGGCCGCTTGTGAAGACTCCACTTTCCACACCAAGAAAACACATGCAGTTGTAAGATTCCAAAGAGGTCCCTTTAGCCTTGTCTGAGTATTGAATGCTGGTTGCCCACCTGCATGAAGTGATAAGAGTTGGCAGTGCCATACACTCCGATGACTCTAACGACTCTATTGTGTTTTGTTGTGTTTTGTTTTTGAAAGTTTGATCATGACTCCCCAGGTATAGGTCACATTATAGTTGCAATTGCCGAGGCTGGGCTTCCAAAGGGTTGGGCTCACCAGCCACACCCCGATGCTGTAAGCCTTCATGTTTGTACACTCCGACTCACTGACATGGGAGGGGAAAACCTCCGACTCACTGACATGGAAAGAAGTCTTCCAAGGGACCATGCCATCCACTTCCAATTTAGTCAGTCAGAGTGTATCCAACCAGGCTCTTAGGTTAGAAGAACTTGGTTGCCCATCTTCCAACCTCAGGATCAGAAGCGCCTACTGGTGTTCCAAGAGGGTCCTACAGGCTATGCGGTCCTGGGCAGCGCATCAGGGGTGCATAACGCTTGCATAGCTGCCATGTGATGCCAAATGAGATCCTGCAGTTGGGGGGTTAAGCCTTTCAGTGAGTTACCCCATGTTACCCCCCTTTGTTTAAACTTTGATTTCATGACTCATTTTCTGCGCCTCTTCTATGAGGCATCTTTAGCAGGGAGAGTTTGTTTGATCGTGTCCAAATACAACCGTCGACGCAGAAAACATCCCAACATGTTGCAGCAGAAACAGATCTTTGTTGGATCGTGGATGAAACAGAATTGCCGACTCATGGAAGTGTCCCGTTGGTCCCAACGGTTGCTTTTGTACCATAGCCAATTGCAGATCCCAGATCCTTCCATCTCTTCATCAAATGCACAGACTTCCTGCCATCAAACTCGCTGTTTCTCAGTCTTGGAGCATATTGCCCAGCGTGTGGTGTGGCTTTGTGGTATCGCCTTCTTTCTGGTCGCCGAGTTGGACCGTGCACGCAGCCTGCGCCTGGACGAGGAGGGACATCAGCTGCGCAAGGGTTTCGAAGGCTCCATTCGCTTTGTGCCTCAGCGAATGCAGTGGGGAGCGCCAGGATCCGCGGATGGCGGATGTCCCGTAAATGAAGACAGCTGGGGGCGCTAGGATGCGCCAGGCGGCCAAGGCTACAGGGTTCCTTTTTTAAGGAGTATACTACTGTATAGATTTAAGGGGATCCAGATTACAAATCTATTCACCACCTTCTCCAAGTTCAACTGAAAAGTTTTGTTTGTAGTCTAGGGCCTTTGTTTGTAGTCTAGGGCCTTTGGCAAGAATCAGATGGGTAGAAGCTGCCAAGAAGACCTAGGAGAGTGGAGACTGCCAAACAAAAAAGCATGGAGACCTGGGTGAGATTGAAGAGACCTGGGTGCAGTGAAACTAAACCACCCGAAATGGCTGTGGCTGAGTGTTGCATGGGCTGGCATTTGTTGACTGGAAAAGGACGCAATCACAAAGATGTAGTAGGTTTTTTTTTTTTGTGTAGCAGCATATACGTATAGTCCGTATAGTAGTAGATACATGTTAGTGCCTTTCTAGGCCTTGTAGAGAAAGTGATGTATGTGCTGGTGAAAGCAGAAAAGCAACAACAACAACAACAACAACAATACAACATGATTTGTAGGTTCGTGCCGGAATTCATATTTCTTTTTAAATGTCTGCTCCGAACCCACAAGTGTTCCAACTCTCAGGGCACCCAATCAGTTCTGGGAGGGTACTAATAGCTGTTGAGCTCCACGTTTTTCATAACACCAAATGTTGAGAGAAGAACGTTTTCATCTACCAAAAACTAAGGCCAGCTGCTCGCAAGAGACGGACATGAGAAACATTTGGGAGGAGATCGGCAACAAGGTGGATGACGTCGACCATGCCATTGATGTCCCTTGGAATCGAACTGCTGGAATCGAGTACCGACTGTGCCTTCTCTCGAATCGGAGATCTCAAAAAGTAGACCTTGGCAGGGCGGTCGGGACCGGTGTGAGACCAGAGAAATCCCCAGCTAAGGCACCACGCTCCAGGGGTATTTTTTTTTTCAGTGGCCCGCTGTGGTCCTCTGTTTTGAGGATGGGTTTAACCCGAGTGAGAGTGAATACAAGAGACATCAGGAGACACTCAAATCTCCAGGTCTCAAAAGAGACAGATCTCGGCAGAGTTTCCACCAACTCTTGAGGTTCGGTGCCGCAAAAGGAATGATCTATATGTTTGGCGGATCAAGCGAAGTCATGATGCCTACTGATTCGTCCGACACGAAGTCACCGACACTTATTTTCTCAGGGTCTCTTGTTGGTTTCGCCCAAAAGGCAGCGGTGAGTTGAGGCGACTGACCCGACGCGAAACAAGGGTGCTTTGTTTTCTCCAGCTAGCGCTTTCCAGTTGGTATAGAACCGATCCATCAACAACTTGGGGGCGGTTCTGGTTTTTCGGTCGGCCGAATGCCACCCGGGCGCGCTCGCGGATCTCGACAGGTGCTGATCTCTGCGGGCATCTCGTCTCCAGATTTGCGCTTTGCAGCGGAGCAGGGCGTGGACATTGAGGAGGCGGGGCACGCGGACTACGCCATGGCCGTGGTGGTCTTGGGACCATTGCAATTGTGCCTTGAGAGTGAAGATGGCCCCGGTGGGAAATGAAGAAATGGGACAACACCGTTTGCGTATTTGAGGGTTGGGCAATCGTATTCTATTTCATTGATGTAGTGTTTTAGACGAGTAGGTCCATCTTTGGTGATGGAGCAGTTGTTTTCTTGGAAATGCTTGCTGCTTGCCGAACAGCAGGATGGTTGCGTTTCTTAGGTGATGGAGGGTGTTATGTGGGCTTTGATTCTTGAAGAAGGCACACTGTTTGAAGTTAGCTATAGATCATGATGGCTTTTGGCTGTTGAATCAAAAGGAAAGCCAGATGTTGTTTCACTCTTCAGTAGCTAAGATACATCAAGATACTGTTTTGCTGTGATGGTGGTATTCTCAAGTTTCAGGATGTTAAAGAACATACATGCATCTGGGATGATGTCGGGTTCCACCCATGGATTCATGGACCGATGGTTCACATCCAACGACCAAACCCGGGGTCGACTTCGACTCCGACATCGGTCGACTCCATTCGACTCCGACATCGGTCGAATCCGAGGATTTCCTTGAAGAACGCGATTCAGGTGTTGCTCTTTTCGCCCGAGCTTTGGCAAGAAGCCACGTTTGCCTGGCTGGGGCTTCTGGCCAGCCTGTCTTGTAGCATCATGATCCTGGGCGGCTCTGTAGACCAGCGTGCCTTTATACTCAAGGCCCCGGTTTTGTTGAAGTTGGATGTTTCACGGAATTGGGACATCTACAGTATCGGAACATCCGGCATGCGCCGGCATATATAGTACCAGTGGGTTTTCTTTTTGCCACCTCCCTGATTTGCAGGTCATGAACAAGCTCTGCACCCTCACGTTTATTCCATTCGCACCCAGGTGGCAGATGGCCTGAAGAGGGTCACGTCGTACCCCGGGTGCCGGGCGCCACACAGATTAAGCAGTTTGTCAATGTTTGGCGCCCAGAAACACTCCCAACGCACCATTGAGTTTGGAATCTGTTACAACGCACCATCGAAAAAACATCGCTCGGACTTGGCCGAAGTCCACTGGATTTAAAGATCTCAATGTTTGTATTACTGTCTACAGGCGCATGTTTTATTGTTGTTCCCCAGGGGGTATCCGGACAAGCCGTGAAGAACGCCAGAATGACAAACATCAATCAGCAATGAGCCTGAGTTGATGGGAAGGGGAATGAAAAACACGTAGGTATGGTGAAGAAGGGCTCGCTGGGAAGAAACCTGGCAGGAACAACAACCAAGATAATCTTGTTGGGAAGAATATCAACTTCTTGTTGGGAGGTTATCCAGATTATTAAGCTTGAAGTGGATAGTAATTTTGGATAAATACTTCATTGCTACACTCCTACACCATGGATAGGAGCATGAGCATGCAAGATGGACACCAAGCACCGACTTTGGGATATAGTGTTATAGGGTCCCTGTGTCCCTCCGTTTCTCACTTTCACTAGGGGCTCCGGAACATACTGCTTGGTCCGTTGCTGTCGCGAAGTCGGAACCGTCCTTTCTTTGAACTCGTTGGGCGTCCCACCGTGGAAAAAATGATTTGGTTTATTGGCCGCCCTGGACTACGGCTTTCTTTTTTTGATACGCCTGCGAAAGGTTTTTCTCAGAGAATGACTGCCAACTTCAACTGTCCAACCATCATCATCATCATCATCATCATCATCATCATTTGTCTCAACACCTGTATCTAAACACCTGTATAGTAACCATCTGTGTAAGGGCCAAAACACGCGATCAAGAGTTATTTACATAAGTCGCCGTGGAACGTCTAAGAATGTGCTTTTCTTTGTAGAACGATGGGAAGCCTGAAAAACGATACCGACCAGACAAGTTCATTTGTTGTGGCGTGATTGATCATATTCACTGGTATATGAATCAACCACTTTAGTAAGGGACGTTTCATCTCTGCGTTGCTTTCGTGATTTTCCTTGAAAAACGATAGGGGACTGACAAAAAACGATACCCCTATGTATACATACTTGCAAAATCCAAAACCATGCAAAACGATAGGGGACTGACAAAAGTGAAACGAAAACACTCCAAGCATGTATTTTTCACGCTAACTCATATATTGTCCGCTAGCAAGTTCGACGTGCAAAAACGATACCCCAAACGATGCTTTTCGATACCCCAAACGATACCAGAAATCATCAAATATATATAAGGAACACCCCAGATCCAGGGTCGCCCAACACAACTTTTCCCCAGATAGCTTCAAGTATAGGAAGAGGTGCTTGTGCGCTTTGGAGCCTGAGTGCTGGTGCTGCTCTTGGAGGGTGCCGCCGCCAGATGTGTGGCTGCGTGCGCTTTGGAGCTTGGGCGCTCTTGCTG